AAGCCTGGGGTGTGTTACGAAGTTCAATTTCTTTTTTTCTTTTTTTCTTTTTTTTTATGAACTTTGAGTTTAGTGAATGACACTCTTAAAACAATCCGATATGAAATCTGATCGACAATAGTGACTGTGACCTCCTTATACCAAAAGTAAATGGTCTCTTTGTATATATTTCCATATATTTGATAGACAGATAGATAGATAGATATAAATTTTAGATATAGGCCCAGTTTGGACAGATCATTTATTAACAAATAGCTCTGTTTACTGCAACTTAAAATTAGGAGTGTCAGAGGAAATAGCTTGGCCTGCTTTGCTATTCAAGGGTACGCCCTTTCTGCCCCCTGCTTATCAAGAAAACGCAGCACTATGTTTGCCCACGTTTTAAACAGGATGTGTTTCATGTATTTGCTCCATTGTTTAATGGAATTGTTGGACCATCCAAAAAAGGGTGAAAACATATGAACATCCATGCCCTTCAAATAATAAGAATAACGACGATATCGTTATTAGTTTTTTATTTAAAATGCATATGGTATAATTTATATGTATGTAAGACTAAATAATATATGAATAATGCTATTTCTTTTTGAAAAGTTATTTAGTGCCATTTATATGTATGTATAGTGTTGTCAATCTATTTTTATGTGTATGAGTGTTTCATATTAAAAAATAACACCAAGCTTGAGCAGAAAAACTCATTTATTGTAATACCAAAGCCAATGACTTACCAATATATGGATTTGAATCAAAAGTTGCAAGAATGGTAATAAAGGTGAAAGAAAATACCAACAATCACAAAACGGAAGGTAACTCTTTAAGAAAAAATGGATGACATTATTGGCAACAATTACACAAAGCACAAATAAATAAAGGACTACAGCAATCATACTAAGCCTAACCAGTATTGAGTATACCTAACAAATCACCAAAGCTTTCTAATTAATAATAAAAACACCCAAACTTAAAAACAGCAATGATCATACAAAAAAATAGTCTTAAAAAGTCCACCAATCAACCAACCAATTGATGATCCAAAAAAAAAAGGCACTTAATTAACAGGGTATATATACATAAAAGGAAAAATATAGAATAGTAACCGAAAACCTAGGCAAGAAAAAATAAAAATATACCTTTGAGCACTACAGATAGCCCCTTTTCCTCCTCCTCCAACAGTTTATCAGCCTCACTCAACTCTGGCTCCATTTTGTCTCCATCTTTCTCTGAAATTCCCTCCATGCCCTTGCCCTCTTCCCCTTCGTCAAAGCTCCATGGCTCGAAACCCTCTGCTGTTTCCCATTCATCATCTTTTCCCTTTGATCCAAACTCTTTGTCGACTTCTTTGAATATATCTTCTTCAACTCCTGAAACTGACCATTTCTTTTCTTCATCGCTTTCTCTCTCTAAACCCTCACCTCTTTCTCTCTCCATTCCACCATGAAATCCTCTCTCCTCTTCACCCCTTAAACCTGCAAGATCATTAAGCACATCTTTTTCCACCCCAAAAATCGACCATTTTTCACCTTCATAACTTTCTCTCTATAGTCCCATTTGACTTTCTCTCTGTAAACCAATAGAGTTTTCTCTCTCCTCCTCGCCACCAAGGCTTGCAAGGCCCTTAAACCCTGCATCGTCATCCTTCTCATTGAAAATATCCCATTTTTCATTGCCATTTTCTGGTGAAAGGCTCCACCGGTTTGCGGTTTTGCTCTTCTCGCCTTCTTCGTCGTCACTGTTTGATCCATTGCTTCCATGGGTTGAGCATAGCTTCGCAAGGTTGGGGAGAGGAGATTGATAGAGTTTGTGGTGGGAGATTACATGTCGTGAGGGGAAGCTAGGGTTTGGAGTTGCCGATATTAGGGTTATAAGAAGAAGGACATTTGGTCTGAGGATGAAGCGAGAGAACATCGCGCGTGAGTCTCACGAGGAGTATAGTTGCAGTTTAGAGAGAGAAAGCGAGGGATTTTAGGTAGCTTTTGATAACTTCCATTACAATCTCCCTAGGAATCACCCCTACAACTGCCTTTCCTAGTTTCTTGGGAATCACCCCTACGGCTGACTTTCCTAGATTATGCTATGCAGGTGAAAATTGGTAGGGTGAAAGCCAGAAACCCTAGTTTGATAAACTGTGATGTTGGTAATTTCACCTCTTTGGCAATGGGAAACTTGGAAACTATTTGTAATACTGTTCATTATGTATTTCATTGATATGATATGCGAAATGCAGTTTTTTAAAGACATTTTGTAATTAAAAAAGGTTCCTTCGATTCATCCAATATAATACCTAACATGTAAATAGATTCAAGGAATAACAATATGTACACAAATATTGAACAAAATTGATTTTCTAAATATCAAAATTTCACTCAATGCACAAGCAGCCTTCAAGACCTGGTAATAACAGTAAGCAATCAATGGAGGTTTGAGAACTCAACAAATTAATCATGAAGCACAAAGCAGTAAAGTAGTAAAGTCATTATTTAGTAAGACGTTCTGGATTTATTCCATGATCAATCCCATATATTTAATTGCAACTCATAACACCAATGTAGAGCAACAAATATCAAGACCTTCACAAACTAGTACAGTAATTACATACTCAAATGGCTCAACACAAGAAATCCAAAGAGAAACCAATACATGGGCCCTCATCACTTCAATTAACAAAAGACAGCAGCTTGCATTCAGTATCACTTACATTACTTCATAAAATCATATGCATCATTCAAAAGAATCAAAACTCAAATCCAAAACAAATTCAGGCTCAAATGACCAAAGTATCATTTGGCATGACTTGGAACCGAGGAATGTATTGAAAACAACAGTAAGCATCAACGGAGGTTTGAGAACTCAATAAATTAATCATAGAACACAACATGTTGTGCATGCCCACCACAAAAAAGGGTTTCAACTTACGGTAGTTCAGAAGTAAACAACTGGTTTATATACGTAAAATCCATAGACGAAAAAACATTTGAGGTGTTGAAATGCGCAAACATAACCCAAACATAATGGTAATATGATACAAATAACCAGCAGAAAATAGAAAATTAAAAAAAAAGAGAAAAATCGAAGCTCATCCATAAATAATCAAAAGTAGCAGCAAAAAATAAAATATTAACTCACTAATTTGGGGTTTATCAGTGAGTTAACTCACTGATTTGGGGTTTATGAGCCAAAGCTAAAAAAAACCATCATCTAATTGATTTGGGCTTTATCAGAAAAAATCGTAGAAAAAAAAAAATTTATTACTGCAGTCATTTGGGGTTTATCATCATAATAAACATTAAAAAAAAACAAACTCACTGATTTGGGGTTCCTACTCTGTGATGATGGCGATGGAGCGAACTGTGAGCGAGTCCCTTTATCTTCTTCAACCTAGGGTTTGCAGAGGGCAGCAGCTGTGAGCGTGAGTTTTCTTCTTCTCTGCGAGTGGATTTTTGAAAAGGGTTTCACGTTAGAAAGGGCTTCAGGGCTTCTCCTTAGAGCGGGAGGGTCCTGACTTTCATCGAAAGCCTTTTTTTTGTTTTGAGTAAATACTTTCACGGAAAGTGGCCGCACGCCCTCCCCGATTTGCGGCAAGTTGCTTAAAGTGAATAGTATAATTGGGATTTGGGAAGGAGAGAGTCCAGACTTTCTTTTAAGTTTTGTGTTATCAAACATGTGAAAGCAATAGTTTGGGTGAAAGTAAGCCACTTTCGTTCTTTTAGATGGGTGCAGTTTGCATAGTGCTGAGGCTCTAGACAATTAAAGTAAAGTGCACCTTCAAATAGCGTCGAGAAATATAGTTTTAATACTGAAATTTTATGTGATAGCTTTAAAATGTATTTTATTTTTAATTATAAAATTTAAAGCTTCAAAAGTAGTGTAGATCTATGAAAACTTGAAAATCTTGTATATTGACAGTAAAAAATGCGGCACAAGATCAACTATTTCCAAAACTTGAAATCCAATATTTTCTCATGACCATGCATTTTGATGATGAGATGATCAATTTGAGGATATTTGAGTATCAAAACAACCTCTAGTGAAATTTTTGAGATGGGATCTAATTTGATTGTTTAGAGCCTCGGCACCATATAAACTTTTTCTTTTTTGGATTTTATGCACGAACTTGGCCATGGGCCGGGCCGAGTAACTCGGACTATGTCTGAGTAACTAGTGTTCACAAAACCGGTCGGTTAGATTGAAACCGCTAGGGTTCTAACTCCAGTTAGGGCAGGTTTTGGTGTTCTAGCATGTACATGAAATACCTCAAGAAAGATCTGGTCCAAAACCAGTCGATATCTATTCGAACCGACCATTTTTATATTAATCCGGTCAGTTTTTTGGCAAACCAGTCTGGTTAGTTTAAAAAACGAGGAATAACGTATAATGGCCATTATTTTGATAGGGGTCATTATTTGATTGAACATTTGATTCCATTTTCCATGCATTTTCAGCCTTATACAGGCTTTTGCAGCTAATAATTGATCAAAATTTTTGGTTTTAATCTATAAATCAATGGATTTGAGATCAAAATAGCACCGAAATTCCATTTTATTGGCCATTATTTGGGTATGCTTCAAAGTTCTGTGAGAAATCTACCAATTTAAAGATTTTGGCCTCTTTTTTGAGTTTTTCTCCATCAAAATAGAGGGATTTTGTTGATGACAAAGATATCAACACTACTACACTCCATATTTGACCGAAATCTAGAGATTTCGGGCTCGATTTTGATATTAGGGTTCATTTGAGATAGAAGAAAACAATGTAAGTTTTATCCCGAATTTTTTTTAATTTTTTTCCTATTTTTTCTTCATCTTTTAGGATTTTTTAGACAATATTTGACTAAAATTATTGATTGCATTCCATAAAAGAACAGGTTTGATAACAAAAACTCAACAAAAATCAATTTTTCTTGCCCCTTTTTTTTGGTTCTTTAATAGTTCAGGAAAAATCCGCCAAACTGCTGCTTGGGCATCATTTTTTTATTTTTCTCGATCAAAATGGGGGGCTTTTATAGATGACAGAGATGTTCAGAATGTTGAACTCCTGATTTCATCGAAAATCAGATATTTAGGGCTCGCTTTTAGGGGTTTGAGAAATCGATTTTTCTAAAAAATAATTATTTTGCATATAAAATTATGTGTTACGATGAATATGAGAAGTGTTTTTTTATTTTTTTTAATAAATGTATGTTTTTTGAGAAAATTATAATTTTTAATAACTATATATTTTTGGGTGAATATGACAAAAAATAGATTCTTCTACCTTTAATGTTATATTTTTTTTAACAAAAAATAAGGTCCATGATAATGTTGCTCAATTTTTTTTTGCTCGATTTTTTTAATGTTATATTTCTTTTGCTCAATTTTTTGCATGATAATGTTTTTTTTTTGTTTTGCTTAAGTGCAATATATAACAAAAAATATGCATGTTGACTGAGGGATGGTAATTGAACTAAGAGTATGTGATGCAGTCACATAAAATTCATTTTGTATCTCCACTAGAAACCTCTTTCTCTCTATAATTGTATACCCATACTCTCATATTAGAATGATACCATATATCTTGAAATATTTGTAAAACTTGAAACTGGAGTGCGTAAACATACATGAGTGCTTATGTTTTTCAGTAATAAGCATAGGATTTTTTCAATTTGAAAGTTAAAAGTTAAAGCTTTTTTGCGTTACTCAGATTTTTCGCCGAGTGAACCCTGATAGCGAGACACAACAGTACCCTGACCCCCTCGCCACTCTCATTACTATTAGTCATTGTTATTTGGATTTTGTAACTCCATCAATTGAATTAATGTCAAATTATAAATTGTCTTGCATATCTCCATAATATTCATATATTAATTTATATAAAAAGTTGTTTTAAAGTTTTTTGGGTAAGTTAAATGTAGGTAACAAGATAGTAAAGATAGTATACACTTAATTTAAGTTTTTCTTGTTTTATTTTTATTTTTTTGGGCCTATTAAAAAAAAAAAATCTTCCAGACTGATTAAGTCCAGTTAACCGCCCAATTTGTCTGATTCTGGTCCTAGCCTCTCCCAGCCCCATGTCTGGTTAACCGTTCCGGTTCGATTTTGCCAACACTGCGAGTAACCCAATAGAAAACCATCCGGATTTAAGAAATCCTAGCCTGATAGTAGAAAAAAAGGCTTACTTTGGCAGTCCAGTAGGAGGTCTAACCCCTCGTAGTTAGACCCGCCTTGAACCTTTTATCTTTCGCTTTAATAACTAAGATCCTTTTCTCTTTTAATTTAATAACTAAGATGATGTTTTTTGTGCTATGAGTGGGGAAAAAATAAATAAAGAGAGAGAGAATATTTTTATAATTTTCAGAAATGAGGGGTTTCATTATCTTGATTTCTCAAAAAAATAATAAAAACAAAAAAACAAAAAAAGTCATTATTTTACAATAGTTGTTAAATTTTAATGGATTTAATTTTACATAGAAAGAGTATTTATCAAATTTTGTTGTTTTGTAGGTAGTTGGAAGAACCCCTTTGTTTATCTCAACAAAGTTAGCGAAGGTTGTGGGGCTTACGTCATTGCCAAATTGGAGATGATGCACCCATTTTGTAGCATCAAAGATAAGGTATTCATTCGGGTGTGGTTTGCATAAGGTTGCAATCTTAAACAATCAAATTAAAACGCCTTCGAATTCTATCATAAATATAATTTTGGTGTAAAATAAATATTAAGATGGCTTAAGAATCTATTTTCATATCTAATTATAAAAAAATTTAAAATCTAAAAATGGTTCAAATCAAGTAGACCTATAAGCACATGAAAATCTTGAAAATGGACGGTCCAGATAATGTGTTACAAGATATACTATTTTAAGACTTGAAATCTATTTTTCTTTTCATATTTATACATCTTGATGTTAATATGATCAATTAGAGAGTTTTCCAATATCAAAAGAACTATTTATGATGGATTTTTAAGGTGCATCTTAATTCTACATTTTAAGGTTGCAACCTTATATAAACTTTTTGCTATCCAATAAGCCAAAGATTACATGCTCTTGATCTGATAATCTACTGTGAAAAGTCTCATAACCATTAGATCAGTGGAGCAACAGTGATGGACATAGAATTGGACTTACTGCTTGGTTCATGTTTGGACTTGTGGGTCCACTGCCCCCTCATCATTGTTTATCCATCGATTGTGTGGTGATTCCACTTAGGGCCTATAGAGGTTCTATGTCCAAGTGGATTGTAGCACACTCTACCTGTAAGTTTTACACTGTTTCTCACTCGCATTGAACTTGTTACTCCAACTAAGGTTACCCTATAAGACTATAAAGACATGTAAATAGTTCTATTACAAGGAATTCACACAACAAAATCATTCGAAATTACCAAAGTCCGCAAATCAATACCTTTCATTGCCAAGGAATCAGCAACCTCGTTACCCTCCCTATACGCATGCAGAAAAGTCACTTTCATGCCGTGCACCAAATCCATGATCTACATTCACTCCGATCTCAATTTCCATGGGGATCTTGTTATAAGGTAACATCAATTAATAACATTCAAAGAGTCCCCCTCAACAATGTGCAAAAGTTGAATACTGTGTTCCTTGATAATTTTCAAACCATGGAGCACCACTAACAACTCCACTTCATTAGCGGTTGTAATTCCATATGAACCTGCATAGCAAAATAGTATTTCCACACTATGATCTCTCACAACCCCCTGAAACCAACTCATCCCGAGTTGCCTATCGAATTATCATTACAATTCATCTTAATACTACCCATCAAAGGAGCTACCCAACGCCCTCTAGCTCTTGATTTTAATCGCCCATTGCATTATAAAATTAATAATACTCACTTCCAAATCGACTTTAGAGACACCAAAACCTTCCTTTGTAATCGAGAACCAGCTCCATAAGGTATGCAATATCCTCTTTTGAATCACTAATTTTTCAAAAATAATCCCCTAAAAAACCCTCATATTCCTTTCAGGCCAAACCTCCCATAAGAGCGTAGCCGTTCCAATTTGGAAAACTGCGCTACCCACCTTAGGTACTCATCAAATGACAATTATTCAATAATGTGAGTATGACTTTGAGGCAAAGGACCAACAATACCCAATTTACCAAAAAACCAACACCAAATGTCATAAGTAAAAGGACAATGGAGGAATAGGTGATCTCCACTTTCATCACATTCCTTGCAAAACATGCAAATATTGGTCATTATTCTTCCTTTCTTCATCAACTTATCAACTGTCAAAGTTTTCCCTTGAAATAACACCCATATGAACACTTTAACTTTTTGTGGAATTCACCAAGACCAAATATTTTTCAAAGAATATTGATTCCACCTTATCCTATCATGAAATAAAAGATGATAAGATGATTTTACCGAAAAAACATCTTCGCTTTCTGCCTCCCAAACCAACTCAACCCTAAATCCTAGAGAGATAATTTGATTTTTTCCAACAAGTTTAGCAGGTCAGCCATTTTTTTAATGAACTCGTCATTCACCCTATTATACAAGCATTTCTCATCCTAAATCCCCCTCTCCATATTGAACAACTCATTCACTTTGACCAAAGGATCAATTGTAGCGTTAAGACCAATTGGTAAGAATATTTCAAAGGATACTCCCCCATCCACTGAACATGCCAAAAAGGAATATTCGATCCACTTGTAAATAGTTCTCTAGAGTAGGACGACATTAGGTTTAGCAGCTTGGTGGGCGTGGGCCTAAAAATTTAGGGCCTGGGCCACAGACTGTAACCCGAGGCCCAGCTTGGGCTGGCCTTAGGGGGACAAGGGTTGGCCCAGGGTTGGTTCGGCTTAGGCCCGGCCCATTGTCATCCTCACTCTAGAGTTTAGCTAGTTATTAAATAAATTCATGCTTTGATATAAATCTGAACCATATAAATTTTATCCTATTTGTCAAGGTTGGGATCGTCATGATAGAAGACACGGAAAAGAAGAAATGGATATCACCTGACAAGGTATAAAGTTCTACACTACAAGGCAAAAGGTAGAAAGCAAATTAGTTTAAACTAATAAGCATATAACATTGTTTTTTTCTTTTTATCGTTAACGTAAATTCTCATTAAGTAGAAGCACGAGCTCGAAAATACAATGGTATTACAAAGGAAGTAACAAAATAGAGAACAAGGAGGGGGAAAAAAAGAAAGAGGAGAAATAAAGAAGAGGGGAGAGACGGTGGGAGCCGAGCTAGAGCATCTACATCGCCATTCTTCTCTTAATTGACATAGCAGAATAGGACCTCTTTGCCAAAAATGGCAATTTGAATCTCATCCATAATTGAAGTCTATTGCGATCAATTGAGGGTGGATGCACCAATTGATCACATTAGCGAAATCACCCTCAATGATAAGTTGTTGGTGGTTGTGGTGAAATTCGAGCACTCATTCCTAAACTGCTCTGAGCTCAGCTTCATTAATGTCATGATAAAGTAACTGGCCATTGTAGGTAAAGATGGTCTCATAAAGATAATTTCATAGGATGTCGCCAAAGCTTGCTTCAAGAGCATGTGTTCTCACACTACCATAAAAACTCAGTTTAAGCCACAATCAGACGGGGGTGGAAACCAACAAGAGGATCTAGTGGCTCTTTTGGGGCACAACAACAGTAGGTCCATAAACTGCGTAGAGAAAACCTCTTTGGGATAACACATAAGGTTCAAGAGAACCTGAGCCCTATGAATCACCCCCCTCCAAACAACCTGTCGAATTTGCTCAAAGTCATATGCTTTCTCATCAAAGACTTTGGAGTTCCCCTCCTTCTACAGGAACCACATAATAGGTGCCACAAGAATACACCACAAATGGATACCAGTTGCAGGGAACGGTGGGTGAAGAATCACAACAAAGAATTCTTGTATTTTCTTTAGCATTATCCATATCCAATTGGAAATTATGGCGGCCCAATTCCGGAATGAAGTCACAAAGGGACAATGGAGGAACATGTGGCTATAATCCTCAGCATCCTTTTTTTGCAAAAAATGCATACGTTGACCAATACCTTACCCCTCTTCCTTAATTGGTCTCTAATTAAGACTCTTTCCTGTTTTAAGAGCCATAAGAAAGCCCTACTCGTTTCGGTGTTTTGACAGACCAAACCTTAGTGTTTCTATTACTGATGTCAAAGATTCTGCCACTACTCACCTCCTTAAAAAGAGATTTGATGGAGAAAGAAGCAGTCGGAGTGAGCTCCTAAATGAGGGCATCCCTTCTCCTGTGTAGGCAATAAAGATGTTAAGAAGTTGTAGCAGAGAAAGAAATTGTTGCTCTATGTTGAAGTCAATTCTTCTATTTCTTAGATCAATCTTCCAAAAGAAATTAGATTCCTGCCCTTCCACCAAGTTTGGACATTACAAGTTTGTAAACTTCTGGGAAACTGTACTTCAAAGGTTCATGTCCAATCCATCGCATCGACCAAAATTTCGTAAAACTGCTATCCCCCACTTTCATTCTTACATAAGTCATAAATAGATTCCTCACTGAATTAAGGCCTTTCCATTTTTTAAGGATAAGGTATGTTTGGTCCACTCTATATTTGGAGAGAATAATTCTCTGCCACTCCAATTGAGGCTAAGAGAAAACTCTCCACCATTTTGTGAGCACAACATCATTCAAATGCTTAAATCTGCATATCCTCGAACCCCCTTCACTTTTTGGGCGGCAAACCTTCTCTCACTTGACCAAGCAATACTTACGTGGTTCTGAGCTACCACTCCAAAGGAAGTTCTTCATCAAAGTTTTAAGCCTCTTAAGCACTGAAGTAGGTGCTCGATAAAGGGAAAGGAAGTAAATCGAGGTGTTGTCAATCATGGAGTTAATCAGAGCAATTTTTGTCCCCAAATCAAAAAAACCTGCTCTTTCAGTCATCAAGCTTGTGCTTGGCTCTTTGCATAATGGATCCCAAACAGACTTAGGCAGTCTACCTTCAGCAAGTGGACCCCTAGGTACGGAGAGGGCAATTCTTCTATCCCACAACCTAGCCAAGAGGCCTAGACTCTTAAGTATTCTAAATCACAATTGATCCCTATAATTCTGGATTTGGAAAGATTACTCTTAGCTCCTGAAAATAGTTCGTAGCATTTGAAAAAAAGCCATATGTTCTGAACCTGATTGAGGGAGGCAGAGGTAAGCACAAGTGTATGGTCTGCATACTGCAAGTGGGAAATAGGATCATCATAGCCTCGGATCATGAGGACGTCAATCACATTGGCTCTCATAGCCGATCTCATCATGAGGCCAAAGGACTCCCTGGCCAAAGTGAACAAAAACAGGAACAAGGGATCCCCTTGCCTCAACCCCTTGTTGCCCTGAAGTAGCCGCAGGGATTACCGTTGATTAGGATAAAGAAATGAGACAAGACCATACATCCTTTTATCCCACCTCCTCCTGTTCACTCCAAATCCCATGAGTCGTATGATAGCATCTAAATAGTCTCACTCTACTTTATCATAGGCCTTCTCGAAATCCAATTTGCACAGTAGGCCTAAGCTAGCATGTACTCTGATAGAATGAATGACTTCCGGTGCTATTAGAATCCCATCAGTAATCTGTCTACCTTTAATACAGGTCTTATATCACATGGGAATTGACTTTCTTTAGTCTATTCGCTAGAACCTTCATAAGAATCTTGTAGACTGAAGTTAAGAAGCTGATGGGCTTAAGATCTTGGAGAGACTCCATCTGTTGCTTCTTAGGTGGCAGGGTTATGAACGTTGAACTAGGAGCTTTGTTGACTATTGCATATGCGTGAAAGTCATTAAGGAAGGCTTTCAAGTCCACCTGAACAATTTCTCAAACTTCTTGAAACAAAGCCACCTGAAGTCCATCAAGGCCAGGGGCCTTGTCTCAGGGTAATGAAAACACGTCTTTGATTTCATCCAGCAAAAAAGGCATCTCCATCTAATGCTAGGGTAGAGTCAATATGCTTAAAGGGGAGATTCTCTAGAGAGAAAGGTAATCTGGCTTATGATGTAAAATTTTTTTCAAAAAAATCAACAAAACCTAACTCCCTACCATGCTGGTCCCCCTCACAGACCCTTGAGATATTAATGCCTTCCAAATTGTTCGATCTCCTCCTAGAGTTAGCAATTACGTGGAAATATTTGGTATTATTGTAACCTTCTTAGATCTACTTGGTTCTAGATCTTTGAAGTCAGAAGTCTCTTGTGCTCTTAGGTTATCATACACTTCACTTCTAATAGTATCTCTTTGAGTCTTTTTTTTTGAGGAAAGGTCCCCCTTAGGATTGTTCCAGCTGATTGAGGACATCAATTTTGTGTTCGGACTGGTTTGCCTTAGTATTGACATGACATAAGCTCTTAAAGGCCCAATCTTTAAGCCTATGTTTTAAAACCTAAAGGTTCCTCGCCAAAACGAAACCCCTCCAACCTTGAATGATAGTGTCCTACCATACCGAAAGGATTTCCATCTTTATGGATTTATCTTCCAACCACATCAATTCAAACTAAAAGAGAAGGCCCAAAAGAGACACCGAACATATCAAGCAAGAAAGGAACATGATCTGAAGAAGTATGAGGGAGAACCTTGACAAAAGCATCCCAAAAGTTATCAACTAAGGATCGATCAATTCTAAACATCTAAGGCCTAGAATCCGAGTTATTTGTCCAAGTGAACACTATTCCAACCAGATTCATATCAATTAAATCATTAGAAATAATAAAATCTTTATTGGCAGTCATGTCTGCTGTAATATAGCTCCCTCCATTGTATTCCAATGGATATCATCCCTGATTATAGTTGCAGACCCCACACCAAGGCAATTGAGAGAAAAAAAAATGGAAGTCAAGTCTGAAAAAAAAGCACATTTTTCATTACTAAGATTGAGACCATATACATTGCTAATCATCCATTGGTCTGAGGACCCAACAAAAGAAAAAGTGAGTGAAAGGCACCTAAAAGATGAAGAAAAAAGTGAACCCTTAACCTTAGAGGGTTCCCAAACAACAAGCAGGCCACCATATCGGTCAACAGAGATGAAGAAAAAAAAATCCAAAGGGGTAGCACCCCCAAAAGAGCGACAAAAAGAGACATCATGAGATTGAAGCTTGGTTTCCTAGAGAAGTAAAATTTGTGGTCTATGGACATGAACCAACGGCTTTAGAGCTCTTCTCCTAAAAATTCCCCCATTCCAAGAAATGATTGTCATGAGGACCAGAAGTCCTTCCCCCCTGGTGACTCCAAGGGAGCCCACAACAAAGGGGTCAAAAGGTAGCTTGGCTCCCAAAACTTCAGCCTCTTTCTCCAGTTGAGAGGATACCCACTGTGGCATAAGAAGGGCCGGCCATTCTACCTCTTCAGCGTCCAAAGCCTCCTCCACCACCTTTAAGGTGCCTTCCCATGGCCTCGATCAAGTGTTTTGCTTTCTCTTGAATGACCTTCCTCTTCTCTCTTTTGCTTGGAAGCCAATTGCACAAACGAGAAGAAAGTTCATCCGAAGAAAAATCAGAGGACTCAATGACGAGGAGGGGATGGATGAATGGGGAGGTAGCCATAAAAAGAGTTTTTGGAAGGTCGGAGGCTTTTGCCTCCATAAACGGCATTGACACAACGATATGGCCCTAAGCACGACTTCAGACCCACTTAGAGAAGGTCATTTTGGCAGCCCCCTCAGGAAACACCAGAATGAGAGCTGGATGAACAATTTCAATAGGCTCTTCTTGAGGTAATTCAATGATAGCGATTCTTTGAGGGACCATGGATGAAAGAGGATTGTTTGAATGTTTAGCAAAGGAGAAAAAGGTAGTAAAGAAGAGAAAGAACTAGAGAATATTTGATTGGGATTCCTCTTGGAGAAAGGCTACCATTTATATAAGTAACCAAACGAAAAGGCATGACAGACATACCTTTAGGCGGAGTGTCCTCGGAAGGCGAGAGTGGCTTCTCGGGTGGCGGCGAAGGTAGCATCACCGTCGGATTAAGCTTCAAAGGCAAGGTGTGCTCCACGTTGCATGATGGCTCGTAGCTTCCCAAGATACCCGTAGAAAAATCTTCCAGGCATGAAGCAGAAGATCTCGAAGCGCTGCCTGGTGCAGTACCCATGAGAATCTGATTCGACGTAGTCGTTAGATTGACTATTGGATGGCTGGGTTTGGACGTTTCTCCATGTTCCCATTGCCCAAGGGGCGTGAAAGCATTAGAGACCTTGATAAAAGGCGGTTTGTCATGCACGCAAATGGGTGATGCTGGCCTAGTACGGGTTGAGCCAACGTTGAGTCCCCAGGATGAACACATGTCATAAGGAGCTTTCATCCGCCAAACCTTTTTTACCACCTTTTTACCTCGTTTGAACTTTTGAAATAGTAATTACCTCTTTCGTTTTTTAATAACAGTATGCCAATCTTCCTCCTCTCACACTGGTTCCTTTCCTTTGTTGGAAAAAACCGCTTTGTCCTTGGAGGGAACCACCAACGAAGATGAGCTATGAAGAAACTCTTGAGGAGGAGAAGGGGAGGTTTCTGTGTTGATGGTGATCTTGAAGACCTTGTTGTTGAACTTGAGCACTAAGCATTCATAGATCACAAACTCTGGGGTGTGAAAAACTTTGGCTCTCAAAACACCCAAGGATGGGCCAACTGTCTTGAACCAGTCGATGTCAATAAGCTTGTTGCACTCTTGTAGAATCCTTTCAAAGACAGGCTTAGACCAAGTCTGAATAGGTATGCCCTCGATTTGATGCCAAACAAAAGAGGACTGAATAAGTGGAAGGTTCACCTTAGAGTTCCACCATTCTAGAGACAGAAGAGAAGCATTCATCCTCCAGAAGTGTTGCCTCGTGACTCTGCCCACATCCTCTTAAGAGCCAAATTGTACAAGGAGTCTATTTCTAGGAATAGACCAACTCACGACCTTGCTTGAAGCCCTCATGTCCCAATCTTCAAAGAGACTCTCATTTGAAATGGAGGGGGGGGGCAAAAGGATCCCACAATGGTGAACTATAACTTGGAAGCCCAATGAACTGAGGCCTGAAGATCAATGGAAATAAACTTTGGCTTGTTTGCTTTACCAGTCTCCACTGCCTCCTCACCCTTCTCTTAGTAGCTACTTGCCACACCAACATGAATAATAGAGTAGCTCCATACTCTACCTCCATAACCAGAGTGCGAGTTACCTCCATAGCTCCACAATCCGTTAACCTTGAACCTCATCTCTCTCACAAGCATATAACAATGTTTGTATTTGGCTTTCACACAAAAGTGACAATCACACATAGCATTTATATATAAATTAAGTGATAAGAGTAAAAGAAAAAATTAAAAATTAAAAATGCCAATTAGATTCTTGCGATTCTGTCTTTCAATTATTTTTTTTTCAAATTTTGAGAAAGGGGCTGAAGTTGTAGTGGTAATACCCCCACACCCTAGTCACTATGTTGTGATTTCCATTCCCATTAATACCACCCCATTAACACTAAAAAAACTGGCTCCTAAATTATTTGAGAATATAGTTAGGGGCTGTCATCCCTGCTGAAACTTACCCAATTTTTTTTTCCACTCACAGTCCTAGCGACCTATATTTTATAGTTGATCGGCTAAGAGCGATTTTACTGTATTGCACCACAGGTAAATAGGTAACTGATTTTACAGTGAACAATCCCACTTTGATTTTATATTTCATGGGCTAAAAGTGATTGTGACATGTTCATATCACAGATAAATGATTTTACACTGGCAGTATAAAATCCCAAATATAAATAAGAGTAAGTGGCCCAAATATTTTAGACGAGCACTCGGTTACAAATAAGTAATTTTAAAAAAAAAAGGCACCCGTCTCTCTCTCTCTCTCTTAGTTCCAAAAACCAAGGTTCAAAATATTGGCGATTCAATCGGGAATAGGATGCTCAAGGATGTTCCAGATTAGGCATAAAAACGAGATTCGTCTAAGTCTGATGAAAAAATTACCGATTCTCTGGCTTTTGGAGGCAAGGCTCATCGATTCCTTGCATGAACAGTAAAAAAATCATGTGATTCACTTTTTGTTGTATTATTGAACCATAGCAGGCTTAGCAGAGTATTATTGCTCACAATAATGCATCAAAATGTTATAAAACAATGGATCGAATTCACGGTTTTGAAAAAAAGTCCGAGTTCTAAAAATTTTTGCCATTTGATGAATTAGAAGCAATTTAGAAAGTTTTTTGGATCAAAATCAGAAGGTTTTTAAAGTTCAAAGTGTTATTGAGAATATTATAGTTGTATTTTTTCTGATTCAATAATTATTTTGCTCGATACGATCCGCCAAAGTAATGACTTCTGTTGAAATTGGGCATCATATTGTGTGATGTTTGAGGATTTTTTAAGCTCATGATGTTGTTAAAGGTCATTGTGTAAGTTATTTTTGTTCTTAACAAAATTTTGTTCATCAATTTATGAAGAAATCATGACTGATTCATGAAGAACCCTAATTTTCATATAATTTCATCCATTTGACTAATTTTAAACAAAATAACCAATTTTTGTGATCAAAATCGAATGGGTTTTGAAGTTTAAAATGTTATTTAGAGAATTGTAATTATATTTTTTGTGATTAAACACATGTTTGGGACGATTTTTAAATAAATCAAGCTTCGACAACATTTCATGAAATTTTTAATCCACCTAAGTGTTGACTTCAACACAAATTTGGCACCATTTCAAATAATATTAGAGGGTTTTTGAAGCTCATGATGTTTTTCAAATTATCGTATGAGTTATTTAATTTATTAACAAAGTTCTATTCATCAATTTTTGTAGAAATAGCCCTAAATTTTGAATCGAAAATTTCGATCGATATAAGTCAATTCAATTCGAATTGAAGTATTTATTATGATCATCATTATTTCAATAAGTATATTTATCAATATCATGATTTATCGTTTGGTATTTTTCTTATATGCATTTCCTTGTTGAAAATGCTGTGTTAAAATAGATAGCCCTCTTGAAAATGCTCTATGTACGAATTTTCTTGAATCTAAGTACATAATTAAATTTCCTTGATACATCAAATTCATGTGTGTTCTTATTTCTCTCGATATACAAATATTTTTGTTTTCTATTTTCTTGTAATTATAATCATAATTAAATTTCCTCAATGCATCAAATGTATGTATGTTTTTATTTGTCTTAGCATAAGAATAATTTTTTTTTTTTCATTTTCTTGTTATTATAATCAAATGGTCCAATTATATGTCATGAATGTATTTTTATCATGCATCAAATATATTTTTATCATGCAATAAAAATTTGTATTTTTTAATTTCTTCGTCAATTTTTTTTATGCACTAAAATGTATCTTCTTGAATCCAGCTACGTAATTAAATTTTGATTGATAATTCAAATGATTGTATGTTCTTGTTTCTTTCAATATAAGAAGATATATATTTTTTCTATTTTTCTTCTAATTATAATCTACAATCCAATTGTATGCTTTATCATAATCCATATATAATGATATACTTCATCTATGATAATTCTATGCTTCGTTTGTGTGATGTAAATTTAATAATCAACAATAGTTCATACAACTATAAAATACCTCAAAATTCGCAAATTGATGAAAAAAAATAAAAGTTCTCTTTGAATACCCCATTTCTTATTGGAACCCTAAAGAACATTTATAATGAATTTTAATAATTTTTTTGGATTTTTTTAAAGCTGAATCTGACTGATTCGATCGATTCCCGATCTGAATCGCCAATTCACCGAATCAGATGGGTTTTTTGGGTATCGATCTGTTTTTTAAACCACCGCCTAAAACATCACCCGTTCTTTCTCTCGAGAACAAATAGCTTGTCTCCTTTTCACTTTTCTTCTTCTTCTCGCCAAGTCACCCCACTTTCTTCTCTCTAACGACATTGGACTCCTTAGTTGCTCCAATCTAAATTTGGCACATCATGGTAAAGATCATGAAAATAATTTTTCAATAGAAAAAAATAATAATAATTAAAAATGTCAAGAACAAGGCACATATGAAGTTAGGAAGTTTTAAAGGGGAAATAAACAATAAGATTATCTATTGATGTAAGAAAAGGCTAGCAATAAAAAAAAGGCGACATGATTTAAATGAAAATGGGAGGCCCTCATTCCATAAAATGTTGAGACCTGTATATACAAGAGTTTCATCATTCTCAACTAAGAGAAACCCCATATCCTTGCATGAATTTCAGAGACCCCATATCCTTACATCAGTTTCGTAACAAGAGACCCCATACATCTAATTAACATCAATTTCAGAGACCCCATCCATCTAATTAACATCAATTTCAGAGACCCCATACATCTAATTAACATCAATTTCAGAGACCCCATACATCTAATTAAAAATAAAGTCCGTCAACCAACAGTAGGCTGCACAGTAAGAATTCAACAATTAAATATCAAGTACAAATTAACTAAAATCCTAGCGGTTTATGAGATGATCTTTTACATGCATGTTATGAAATAAATTCCTGGTGATAAACAACATAGTACATTGAAAAACAAAAACCATGAGTTAGGCTGTATTCTGGTCAACAGAAATAATGAATCAGCTTAATCAGACCTTCAGTAAAGGGATACTCTCTTGAGAATCACAATGATAATTCATGTGAGCAGTATGAAGAGCCATCACACGTCCTGACTATCCACTCCCTTAATCAGAAAAACAACATTATGTACTAGTGCCATAAGAAATACAATAGATGCACCAGATCCAAAACAAACGAATAGATATTTTTGGTAATGTGATGCGAACAACAAAAAGTAATAACATGGAATTGCGGGAGTTTATTCATGTCCCTCAAGATGCCAATGATTCTAGGTTCCCGAGGTGTTCAGAACACATAAAACTTACAAGCACATGGTTATGCAGATTCAAACAGCACAACCATCATTCTCTAAATGGCATCTGCAACAACAGCCAATTGTTTTAAAATACTGTGCCCATATAAAAAACTAAAAAACCATGGGAACTTCATATAAGGTCAGAATCAAATAATTTTGCCTTCCCCAACTAAAAGATTTGAAGTTTTGAACAACTAGCTCACCAACCGATCCCTTGAAGCCTCGTATGTAAGTAGTTCACCAAATTCTACCATTGCACTCCCTATAAAATCCGACTAGAGGAAGAGTCGATGAACAGAAAGTAGTCCATTAATTGTAAAAACAAACCATGCTCTTGCCCTCATATCCCACTCAAAATCGAATGCGGAAGGAACAAAAAGAACAAGAAGGAAACAAGGGCATGTTTGTTGTCCATACCTATAATGAGAAAAACAATTCTTACTATATCAAAAAGTTCTCTTACATTAGACATTTTGCTAACAAAAAAGAACACAGCAGAATCAAAAAAAGAAAATAGCACTAGAATTCTAGAAATGCACCACAACAGTAGCATAAAATAAGAGAAATACAGTGATTCAAGAAACTAAATAGTTCACATGATTCAAGAAAATAAATAAACTCAGTAAAAATAGCAAACCAATTCCTTTGGCAAATCAATCTTATTGATACAGTTCACATGATCATGATTCACATATAAGGTGGTTTTATCTAATTCCAAACTCCTTTGATAGCATCCATTCAAATATTTTCATCAAAAGCACTAGAATTTTAGAACTAGATTGCTGAAGCCAAGAACACAGAGTAGATCATCAGAAATAAATTAAATCATCAGTAAAATAGTCACAATATCAACTTAGGACTATGGGAAGCAATTCTCAGTGACAACTATCCAATGGCTAGCTCCAAAACATTCCATGTAAACATTATTTTAGCACTAAACGCATATCAAAACAATCATATCAGAAGAAACCACAGCAGATAGAATCGATATATAGAAATAAATGAGTCAATTCTTTATAATAAAAAAGACAAGCAAATTTCTATATGACAGTCAATTCTTTATAATAAAAAAGACAAGCAAATTTGATCAAGGGTCAAGAACTATGCTCAGTAAACAAACATATGCTGCAACAACCATTGAAGGCAGTAATTTCTAAAACCCCAAAAATAAGCATTCAAACAACAGAGAGAGATTCATTTCCCCATGAACTAGCCAGAACCCACAAATTTGCAGAACCACCACAAAACATCCAATTAAAGCAACTTCAAGAAAGAGAGAGAGGAAGATGGTTCATTCCTCTATGAACAGAAACCGAAATCCACATAATTAACACAATTGAAACCACAACATCCAATTACAGTAACTTCCATGGAACCACAGCAAGAAAAGAAAAAAAGGTTGAAGAAAAAAGGTTTCTTTCTCTAAAATCAAGCACTCTTGAGATGGAGAAATGGTTCTAAATAAAAGGAAAACGTACCCAATCACCATGGGATCTCAAAAGCATGGGATTAAACAAGGAATTAGGCTTACCTGAGATTTAGGATTTTTGTGGGGAACGAAGATCCCTAACAGCAATAATAAATAAATAAAAACAAAAACAAATAAATGTGATAGATATCCCAGATTTTTGCAGATTTTACAGGTTCTTCTGAGGTCCCTTTGTTAAGCCATCAAAATATACGGATTTGAGCAAGAAAATTAAAGATAAATTTAGGGTTTCTGTAGGGGATTCGAAGTGCTTCAACAAAAGTACAAAATCAGAAAAAATAATAGAGGAGAGAGAAAGCTACATTTTGGTGGATCTGTTTTTCTGCTCCCAAGAACCCTAGAAAAACTGATAACAATAAATAAAATTAGGAAAAAGATTAGGCTTACCTATTTGGAGTGATTGAACTTCAACAGCGAGACAGAGGAGCACTTGTAGAAAAGCAACGGTGGCTTGGCGCAGAACAATGGCGCAGAGAGTGATGAGGGAGAGAGATGGCCCAGATGGGATTCGATAGAGAGATGGGTTTACAGTCTTAGATCTCGAGTCACAAAGACGTAAAGAAAACATGG